TATATATATATATATATATATATATATATATATATATATATATATAACGGAACTCATACTTTGGAGAATTAGAACTAGAACCAAAATGCTAATATACACATTACACAATGAAACCAACAAATTCACATTCTGAATCTACTCGCATGCATTAGTCAGTAACCGACACTGCAATGATAGAAGAATAAACCGCTTGGAGCAGTGCAACAAATAGGAACTGTGCTCATGGCATGGTTGTATCCGACAGGGAAGAAAGGGTGAGAGAGAGGGGTAGAGATTGGGCGGGACAAATGGAACTCGTTGTGAAGGCAACTTCAAAGACTTAAGCCGCCTGTCTGTTGTGCGATGCAACTTGTCAGGGCGTGTCCAACAAATTATTTTCCCGCCTACTCTCTTTGAATCCACCAATGAGTGGCAGAATTTAATATGAGAGAAGGTAGCGCTTGCACATTCATCCATCAAAATTTCCCTGTAGTGCAGTTTGCAGCTAGCAGTTTCAGCTACAAAATGTAGTTTATAGCTGATAACTATGAAGTGACATTCGTCGTCCAAAATGCACGATTATCTGTGATGCTTTCTGCTGCATGTGTTCCCTCTCGGGCGACTCATCCATTCATTCATCATCGTCATTGCTCTCATAAACAAAACTGTCACTAAAATGTTACACCTTTGATCTTCATCTATTGAGTTACTGTATGCGGTAACTTCAGTTACTCTACATAGTTTGGCGTGACTCTTCATGTCACAATTCTTATGACACAAGTAAATCTTAATACAATATTTGGGGGGTTCAATCTGTTTGTATTAGTACTAGCAGATTTAAGCCAGAAATGTTAGTTAGTGGGCCTCTCTGTAGAATTCTCTATTAATTGCTCTTATCGAACCATAAAGGGAAAAAAGAATGTATTATATAGGAAGATTAAAAAGACAGAATTTTAACTGAAATTAAATTCGAGATCCATAAATTGTCGGCGATGTTTAATTATGACAGTTTTACAAACAGACCACCAGCATTTTAGTCATTTTTCTCCAAAGTGCAGAGTCTGACAACTAGTCTTGCCGCTTCCCTATGACCTTTTGTTCGCTTGTTTGTCCTCTATTTGTCATCCTACTTTCACCAGCAAAATACTTGGTATACACGCATAACCCTATGGATTGTTTACTGGTCGGATAAACGTTGTGAAGAAAAGTTTAATCCGCTTCGTTAATCTTTTATAAGCATTCATCTGTTTCCTTCTCCAATTTCCTGTACATTATTTGCAGATTAAAAGATTAGAAACATCCATGCACATGCTGTAAAACCGTTATTAGCATAGTTAGATTCTTGTTGCTAAAAACATACTGCAATTAGCCACTTCTGAAAGCAGCCAACGATCGGTAAAGTTGAAAGATGGTAAAATTCATTAATTACCTGTTTTGTGAAAAGGGAAAATGATGACAATAACTAGCTATGCTCGACGAGGGAACCACCTGCATCCCTTTACTCAGTGCATTAAAAAAACATGTAATAAAACAGTTGCGCGAACATCTATCTATAGAACTATACTTTCAATTCGTTAATCCTCCTGTCTAGTTTCCTTCACTTCTGTTCCCTCAATAAAAAATATTGATCACGTACATGTATGCGATTTACAAGAAAGCATTCGTTTAAATATCACATATCTGTTGCCAAATTTTACTTCCTTAATATTGTTCAGCTTACCAAGCACAATAGACATTGGTGACCTAACTAGAAAATGCAAGCTAAAAACTTACCCAAGTAGTGGAACTTTAACTTTCCAAATGTTATTTTTATCTTTTCTCCAGTTTAGCTACCATGTTTATAATGTTTGACCAAACTATTCTCACAAACTTAAGTAACTACAACGTTTGACAATATCTTGCCATTGCATATAGACTCATTGAAAGTATTACTTGTTTGAGGTTAATATACCAATCATAACGTACTCTAATTGTGTTCTATCATCTATATCTATGTTTAGCTACAATAAGACTGAAATCAACAACTGGTTCGAAGATATCGTTATCAAAGACCACACTGTCCCTTTTGATGTGCCTTTTAAGCTCATTTTTTATTATAACACGACAGATGTAACAAAAATATATTGAAAAGATGATAGGAATGTTTTGAGTTGACAACAAATAGTGTGATAATCTAAATCCTTGTTCCAAAAAATAGATAAAGATGTTGAACTCAAAGCACAAATTGAGACGATGACGGAAATATTTTTTATCAATGTATGAACGAAAATATTTTTTGCAGTGAAAACCAGTGATGGGATATGAAAAAAATGCGAAAGCAAGTAAAGATGATAATGTTTCACCTGTAAATGTGAACACTGCAAAAAGCATATGCTAATATATGATGTTTGAATTTTCACAATGTAAATTGAGGAATGTTCATCAAAGCATAAGACAGTGTTGAAGACGCAACGAACTGAATGAAAAAAGGTAATGATTGCATGAAAATGGATTCAAAAGACGTCAGCTGTTGAATAAATATGTGTACGCAACAAATAAATTCATGCATGCTCGCGGATGTTAAAACATAGTGTAATGATTAATAGGTAGGAGGCAGGTGAGGTTGACATAAAGGTACACAAATGTGATATAAACGTCATTAAAAGGAGAATGCCGTGTAAATGAACCAATCATTGGTACATCAAAACTTGAATTTTGAAAAGGTTGAAAATAAGACAAACTTTTATTTACAAGAAGCCGACATTGACCACATTATGATTTTCCACTAATTATTACTGATTACTGACTATCAAAAAAGATTAGGTCATCCATATCCAAGTTGAATACATATTAAAGCCATTCACTCAGCCAACAACTCAATTACCTTCCATACCTGTACTTATCATTCGTATCTACTTGATTTTTATGAATGCAAGCATTCATTTCCATCCCTAGAAATTTTTGCATTGCAAAAGAACGAAATTACTAATGTTGAATAGTAGTACGTCTTGTTCACAGGTTTTAAGCAAGCTATTGCAATTCATTATCAACCACACTGTTATTAAGGTATTTCACTTAGATTCATAAAATCGGCTTACGTTGAACATAAGAATGACTTTGATGATGAGCAGTCTGTTTTGTTAATATGTGCTTACTGTTTGCAATCAGAATGAACAGGAAAGAATCTGATTTAGAAGGTCGCGTTATAGACAGGTATTGTTTGAAAAATAAAGGTATGGAAAGCTGATAAATAAGTAACAATTTACGGAAAAGTTTTAAATCTGCGATAGTGTAGAGGAAAGATTTATTCGGGGAGGAGTAAGTGCGACAGAATTTAGAAGTAAAAGCTATAAATTAACTATGGTTCCACCATTTTGCGTAAAGTTTGGATTGATGAAGGGGGTTAAAAAATGAAAAAGTCGACAAATCTCATTTGTTATGAAAGCCGAAAGAACATGGACAGATAGGTGGTGGGGAAGAGTCTGCGGAGCAGTTGGTATGATTGATTCGAGGAGAAGGTTTGATTGAAAGCTATTCATTTTTCAAAACAAGACTTCTCGGGAAAAGAAAAGTGAATGATAAACGGGCGTCAACCCTTCCATCTCTTCCTTCTTCACGGGCAAGATGGATCGAGCAGAAAAGGAAGGAAACCGACGATGGATTCTTGGATGCAAACACATCAGATGGAACCATCTATCAAGTGCATCTCGAATTACTGCTTTCCTACTACATTTTTCCGTCCTTCCACCCCACCACCCGAAATATCATTTCTGGTAGCTAAAAGTCTTCTCGTTACCATATTGAATTGTGACCTTACTTCAGTTGTTTAAAAAATCCATACAAAACTAGTCTCACCTGTTCTTACATTATTCAGCTTTTTTCATCCAAGTAATGAAAATTATGCAACAGCAATATTTAATTCTTTTGTGAATTAAAATTACAACAACACGTCATAAATTTATGTAATTTTCCATTCATTTTGAAATTCACCTTTCTATTTCATTCCACAGAACAACTGATTTTTTTTTAATTTTCGCATCATTATACTGTACAAACTCTCTCACTATAAATTTTGCTTATTTAAAGCTCAAATTAAGTATATGATTATTTGTTGATATCATCAAAACCCAAAAATTAGATACAATACTCAGAATCAAACTGTGCAGCAACTGATCTCCTGCATACAAGCATATCGAATTAAATGTGCTTGTGTTTAGTGAGCAGAAATCAAAATCAAATAACGGTACCATAATTTGAAAACCTATAAATGGACAAGTGAAACACACTGTGATAAGTAGAATTGACATGTCTTCTCTTTCAATGTTTCAAAGTGATGTGATTGACGAATATAGATACCTTTGACCTCATCACTTTTTGTCCATATAGTCATCCATCAAAAAAGATAATATCTTAATATGACATGTATAGCAGATTTCAGAATGATGCCGACCACTTGTTCAATTAGTAAGCAAAAGGTTATATCTGCAAATGTCGGGATCAGCAAAATTATGGCCTTAGTTCCAAATGTTTGTTTTTCTACTCTGGTCTTGCTAATTCGTGTACAACAGTAATATATAGGAAAGCATATTTTTTCAGGAACAAAAACCAAAGCTTTATTGTTTGAATTGTTTACTGTTTACCTTAATGATGGCAAGTCAGACAAGATATCTCATCTTGTTTCTTTCACTCAAATGATCAATTTTCCATTCAGTGAATATATAAATGAATTTAGCACTAACAAAAATGAAATTCTTAGGAACGTCGATAAGCTTTCTCAAGGTTTCAATATGGAAAGCCTCAAACACTACGAATTTATTCTTTGCATCATCATGAGATGTAATAAGAGCTTGGAAATTTATTTCACAAATTATTTTTCGGAATTACTAAAGTAAGCTAAGTTTAGCACAACGCAGTTATTGTTCAATTCGCTTTTAAAACAATTTCAGTGAGAGACAGAAATTTTCTTATTGAAGCGTAATGAGAGCTGTTGTTATTACTGGTCAAACAATTCGAAAAACATTTTGATCAGGTTATATTTAAATAATTACTGAAGCGACATTATTTACTTTCTATTACTTTAAAATACTTTGACCCCTTCAGAAAAGTAACGACGAATATGATGAACACGAAGACCTACAGATAGAGGAATTCCTCTTTGCTCCCTCCGTGTTTCTTGATATATATCACTATTCACCTTTACCTCACTGAAGATTTCGTCGAAGATACAAGTCAATGTAATGATAGCACAATTTCGAAAGAATTGATTAAGAACAATGATGAAGTGGAAGAAATACATAATTTATAATAGAGTACATTCGAAAACTGTTCACATTACACATTTTTAGATGTTTCAAAGAATTTAGTGCGCATTTTTTAAATACGTATGGTTTTACATTTAACAGATATGGGATTGTTTTTTATATCACACTTTTAATTATGAAGCATAAAAGATAAGTACTGTGAAGTTGAAAAAAAATTTTAATTTAATTACGTTGCTTTTTTAGTGTTGAGAGTAATTGATGACCGTTTAATTTCATCTTTACTGTCTGCAATACCATGTTTTGTATTTACTGATATTAAATATTTTCATTCAGATCTTAATCTATGATATTTGAATTGTACAGAAGAAAATATTGAACGAATTATTCAGGGTGACTAGAGAAGATTGACAAAAGCATGCTGTTAAAACCACTTTTCAAATCAACTGTACATTTAATGCAAACAAAAAATCCACTGCACTTTCAGTGGAAGTGAGTTTACTAAGAGATACGTGTTAGGACTTAAAGCTATAACAATTGCGGTGAGGATATGCATGAACGAGCTGAACCTGAAGGTTTTGGAAAATGATTTTTAGTAAACTTTGTTGGCCTGAGTTCAACAGACGACTGCTGCACGAATAATGGATGTGGAAATGGTTTTGGCTTTCAAACTTGCAACTTTTGCACGTCTGAATTATCTCTACAATCATGAATTACAGGACATTAGTAAAGTTTTTTAGACGCGAAAATTTATAAGTTTCGCCTCTAAAAAACGTGGTTACAGTGACTAGTGACTCAAAGAGCAATGCTAGTTCAATATTCTCATTTGACTGATCGTATGGGATAAAAAAGACTGAAAAATGTCCCCGTAGAAAAGTTAGTGTATAGTGAAATAGGCACGCAGACAGAATAGCAACTATTTTGCTATTGCTGTTAATAGTGATAATAGTCGTCATCAATCATCATCAAATTTGTGATAATAATCACTAAATATCAATCATGTGTCAAATAAATCTTACATCATGTTCATTTTCAGATATCTCCATGCCGCAATTTTCTTCCAATTCACCTTCTTTTGCTTAAAAATTCATAATCTTAGAAGTGCCAACTTTAGTCAATTCATCATATAAACAAATATAACAGTCCTTTATAAAAATCGTTACTCTATACACCAATAATTGTCAATCGCATGCTTACATTTTGAAAGGGAATTATTTCTAGTATTAAAAATGATTTTCTAAAATCAAAGAGTGGCTTTGACGCAATTAATCAGTCAACCATTTGCGTCCATATATCAATTACTGCATAAAATGCTAACAAACGGTCAGAAACTGTTCTAGACTATCTGTATATACTGCAATAGAAAAATCCAAAGAAATTTTATCCATCGTAGCCATCTGAAATTATGTAGATGACTACTTGGAAAACATTTGGGAAATTCTGGGATATTCAGCCAGGAATATCTTCATATCTTAAATGCTTTTCATTTCGATAAAAAATCAGACCAGGAAGCAAATGAAAAATTTTTAAAAGGAGAAGACCAATTGCTTACCGTTCAAAAAATCAAGGAGCAAATTCTATTCATGAGTTCATTTCTAAGATAATAAGCAGATAAGCTGATTTTAAGCAGCATAGCGATGGTGATATAAAAAATGATAGATAATAGAAAAAATTAGCCGTAGGTCCAGAAAATAATGGAGTGATTAAGATATGAACAGCGATGCGATGATAAATAGAATATCAGTAAATAATTGTCAGGATTATTAATTGAGGTAAATTGTAGTAAGGACTGGAAAGAAAATGCTAAACATAATAGAACGAACTATTATTTTCTTGCTAAGCCAACTAGTAGCTTCACTAAACGTCTAGTTTGTTAGGCGATTAGATGCTCTAGATAAGCTGATATGTGCGTTGTGTTGGAAGAGACAAATTTAAATAGAAGGTACAAATGCAAATGGAAAAGGGAAACTCCGAGCAAAATAATAGTTTGCAATTGATAGATGTAAATAACTCATGTTTTATTTCTTTCCATTCTCGTTTTAACAGTGACAAATTCATCTTTTCTTTCTCAGTTTCTCCGTATAATAAGATAATTTTGATCTCTTTCAGCATGTTTATGAGAATGATGGAAACTTCAGTTATTTGATCATTCATGATAACGACCATTTATCTTTACTGCAAAAACGACAGTGATAAACATAAAAATAATCATGATAACAATAATTGATAAAAAACAATAAAAATAATGATTTACTCCATACAGTTTCGACAGATATAAAATATGCTTGTACTCTAATAAAACACTGATAACTTAACTATATCATATATTACTTGGTTTACAACTTCATTTCTTAGAACCTAAAATACTACATAAATTTGATATGTAATAACCTTGGCGAAGGGATTTAAACCTGAATACTTATGACTAAACACAAAAGATATGAACGCGTAAAAAGTCAAATGTAATAAAAGGTCATGGAAGCATCCAATACTTTTGAGTGAACTAAAAGAAGTTGAAGAAACGTTTGCCCGAACTTTATTTGTAAGCAAAAGGTAATGTTATCCTATCTTACAACAGCTTTATGAAAATGAATAAAAGTAAAGTTCTAAAATTACAAAGTCCTCCATTGTAAAATTGTTTCTAATAATTTTCTTGGGTAGAAAGAGCATAGTGTAGATGATCAAGTAACCTATCAATTGAAATTCTCATTCATCTTCAGTTTTTGCTAGAAGGAATGCTTCTTATTTGAGTATTTTTCACTTTTTGGACAGTATATAAACACTAATTTCAACAGATTCATGGTATCATGGATATAATTATCAAAGTATATTCTTTATGGATTATTTTTTCGGTATATTGCTCAATGTTGAAAGGTAGTCCTAAATGTCATGCAAGATATTTTTTTAAATGATATTTTGATGTGGGCACTGCTGTGAAAAATTGATTCCATGCATCTTTTATTTCATATTTCTAAAATCTTCCAATGACATTAATTCTTTCTTGATATTTTTGTGAAAGAAAGGAGTGTAATTGAACTGTATAAATTTGGTAAAGTTTCATTTCGAAGTTATCATGAGTGTAATACAAACGATTGACAAGAAAGACTATACCATATATTACTTGGATAACAATTTCATTTCTTAGAACCTAAAATACTGCATAAATTTGATATGTAATAACCTTGGCGAAGGGATTTAAACCTGAATACTTATGACTAAACACAAAAGATATGAACGCGTAAAAAGTCAAATGTAATAAAAGGTCATGGAAGCATCCAATACTTTTGAGTGAACTAAAAGAAGTTGAAGAAACGTTTGCCCGAACTTTATTTGTAAGCAAAAGGTAATGTTATCCTATCTTACAACAGCTTTATGAAAATGAATAAAAATAAATGCTTTTAGATTGCCTGAAATGACTCCTGATCAGAATGTATGTTAACCAAAATCAAGGATTAATGAATCAGATGTTTGAATATCAACGGAGAGATTTCGAAACTCCAGAACGCCATTTTGATGTGACTTACATCTCAATGTCTCAGAATTTTGGCTCAAATTTTCTAGAAAACAATAAA